GGGGGCGAGCGCCTCCCCGCGGGGGCGCCCCATCCTCTCTGCGCCCCCTCTGGCTCTTGAAGCTTTCTGGAACTGGGGGGGCCGGGAGGCCTGGCGTGTCGGAGGGTCACCCGCGGCCACCCGCATGCACAGCTCACCGTGCCCCCGCCGGCGAAGAGCCGATGGGTGAGGGGGGCGGGGAGCAGCTCTGTGCCTGGGCGCGGGCGGGGCTGGGGGGCGCATAGGGGTGCTGGGGTAGCCCCAGCTGGGGGCGCCGCCCGCGCGGTCACTGCCGGCTCTGGCTGTGCTCGGTGTCTCCCATCCAGCACGCTCCGGCCTCTGTCACTAAGGGACAGCCGGGCAATCAGTTGTTCTTCCTGAAAGGGCACTTTTAATTTTGAGCGTTAATTTATTTAAACGTAATAAAATTTAACTCATCGCACACTGGTAGAGAGCACAGATGACACTGAATTAAAACACAGAACTGACAAACCCAAGGAGTACAACTTCTCTGAAAAAAATCAAGATGTGGCAAATTTAATAACATTCGTCTTCATAAAAGTCAAAAAACCGTATGACAGAGCACACGGAAACACCGTGGGAAGCTGCGGCCAGCAGCAGGCCAGGGCCCAGTGTGGGTCCGGCTGCTCAGCGCCCAGCGCCTTGCGACGAATTCCGGGGAAGCGCTTTTCCCAACAGCGTGAGGGACCCCTCCGGGGAGGCGGTTCTCGGGGCCCCGCCGGGGCGCCGACACGCCCTCGGCCCATGGGGACCCCGACACGTGCAGGCCGCAGCCGGAGTTCTGCCTTCAGTTTTCCTTCAGAAGGCGAATTCGCCACGCGGTGCGGTAAGAACATGTGGGGGCGGAGGGCGCAGGGCCCCAGTGTGGGGGTGCAGGGGGCGCAGGGCCGCACCCGTGCTCTATGAGTGACGGGGGCAGGGCCCCAGTGTGGGGGTGCAGGGGGCGCAGGGCCGCACCCGTGCTCCATGAGTGACGGGGCGCAGGGACCCAGTGTGGGGGTGCAGGGGCTGGCAGGCCGGGACGGCGCACAGAGACCCACAGAGGAAGGGCAGAAGTAGCTTCTTTATTCAGCCTTTTCATCAGCTTCCCTTTGGATGAAGAACTCGGGGCTGTAGAGGCACCGCCAGGCCAGCAGCTGAGGGAGGACCCCGAACGCTGCGTTCAACGCCAAAAAGAGGCTCTTGGCCTCCTCAGGGACCCTGTGGGCGTAGGCCGTCCTGGCGTGCAGCGACGCGCCCATGTGGCAAAACTGGGCCTGCGGGTCAGAAACGGGCGCGGCTGAGCTGGGGCTTTGCGGGGCTCCCGGGGCTCCCAACGGGGCAGCCCCAGCTCGGCCGCGGCCTCACTTCCACGTCAAGACCAGACGTGATGGGAAGACCTGGACAAAGCCTCACTTCTTCCCAGATTGCGCCCCGCTGCCTGCGGGGAGAGGGAGCAGGGGGGCTGGCGGGTGGAAAGGTAGGGAGGTGGCCACCCGAGGGCACCACGAGGGAGGGCCAGCCAGGGCCTCCGCAGTCTGGTCAGCGCCCGAGTTACAGAACTCAGGGTGCCCCCGTGCCCAGCCCCCTCCGGGCGGGATCAGCTCGGAGGGTCCAGGGTAGAGACCTCATCCAGCGGGAGGGACACAAAAAACCGGGGGGCTCCATCTCCGTCCCTTGGAGCCAGTTTGCTGGACCACGGTGCCCACCGAGTCCACGCTTTCACTCTGGCAGGACTGACCGGGCGGCGTCGGCGGGGGAGTGAGCCGAAGGCCCTGCGGGTCACAGAGGCGACCTGCAGGGGAGACCCTGGTCCAGAGGCGTGCGGGCGTGTCCTGTGCACCCCACCGGTAGGCGGTCGCCCCAGTGGGCAGGCGCTGACCCGAGCACGGGCTGGTTTCCGGGGCTGCTGGGCGCGCGGTGAGCGGACCAGAACTGCCGGCCCCGGTCGCCAGGTGAGCCCTCGCTGCCCTGCACCTGGCCCACGGGGCGTGGAGGGGCTGGCCTCCCGCCTCGCCGGAACCGGCCTCGCCTGAACTGGACGGAGAGCGCAGGCCTGGGCCCCCCCCCTCGTCCGCTCAGCTGCCCTTGAAGGTGCCCACAGAGCAGTCTCAGGAAACCACCCCACGAGTCCACTCCTCGCTAGCGAATGGCCCAGGGGAGGCGGCCACATGCCGGGAGGCCGACCCGGGAACCCTGTGGCACGCC